TTTATTTTTTTTAAATGTTAATGTAACTGAGAAATATGCATTCATAATATTGGTAGAGAAAATATATGAATTTATATTTTTTTTCAAAGTAAAATAGTATAGCAACATACCACTTGTCAGTAAAACAATTTGAAAAAGGGCATTTTTGAGCATCACCAACGTGGAACATCTTGTTAATTGGCAAGAGGCGTGCATGCTTGTACTATTGACAAGATAGTAACAATGGACTTGTTGCTAAAAGTAGGATGCTTTACTATTCACATAATATTTTTTTTGTAATACTATTCACATAATATTCAGTAACAAGAGATATATTACTGAGAATAAGGTGGCCTTACTATTCATGAGAGTAGCAGCAACAAGGGACCTATTGCTAAAAGTAGGATGCTCTACTATTCATGTAATATTTAGCAACAAGAGATATGTTACTGAAAATGAGGTGGGTTTTATGACATTATCAGTAACAAGGGATTTGTTGCTGAAAAGGGTACCAAAATTCCAATGACTAGCTCCAATGATTATTTTTAGCAACATAAGCCACGTTAGTAAAACTTCACTTTCAGCAACAAGGGGTGTGTTACTGAAAAAGGTGCAAAATTTCAATGATCGACTCCGGTGACTTTTCTAACAACATAAGTCACGTTAGTGAAGCCATACTTTTAGCATTAAGAGGTATATTGCTGAAAAAAATACTTTGAATCAGTAATGTGAAGCTTGTTGGTAATGTATTGTCAACCAAAACTTCTTCAACAAAGACATTAGTAACATGGTTCTTGTTATTAAAATACTTTTAGCAACATGGGGAGCACTTTCATCAACGTGCTACCGTGTTGCTGAAAGTTAAAGTTATAGTAATATATATATATATATATATATATGTATATATGGGCCTCTTTTGTAGGTTTCCTACATTTTTCCGTGAAAACTGGACCCCAACTCATTCATTAAACTTGTTGCCACTTTTCCATGAGAACATTACTTCTGGTCTTTATTTACTAGAGGGAAAAAACTTTTTAATCTTTCATTTTATTTCATTGCGTTTACCCTGTAGTTTTCTTGACCCCACGCAGAGCCAGCGAGGGATTTCTTCAATAAAAGTAGAGGTGGCAAAATTTGATGCGACTCGCAAACCTAATCAAGACTCACCCATTGTTAACGAATATGAGTAAGGTTTTCATCACTCGTGACTCATACGGGACTCTTTAAATTTACAATAGGTCAACCCCATCAACTCTTTATCATTATTATTTTTAATTTTACAATTTTAATATATTTTACATTCGATAAGGTAGAATACCAAAATCATGGTTCAAATGCACACAAAATCAACGCCAAAAAATCTAAACCAATTAAATATGAACATAATTTAGCTGGGTAAACCAGGCTTAAAGAAGAAAACAAATCAAGGGTGAACCTTTCATTATAACAGTGGTTAATCTCCTTCCATTCACATTGGATCCAAAATTTGGACGAGCAAAGACGAACATTTCTTGGTGATAGTGGTTCGCTGCCTGGTGCCGAAACAAGAGATCAAAGATTGACTTGGGGATTCTGAGGTTGGGGGTTGGGGGAACATTTTTCATTAATTTTTAGAACCAAAACTGGGAATAAATTTATGGTAATTATTATTGGTTATGATGTAAACACTAAAAAAACACAGATTTTTAATGATAAAAATTTGTGACAAATTTTGAAATCATCATTATATTTTATCATAACATATTCCAAAAATTGGTATATGTGCACATGTTCAAAGATGAGGAAAAAAATTCATTACTAAAGAGATATTTCATCACTCGGCAAACAATCTCAAAGAGAATACAAACCTATGATGATAAAAATCTATCACAATTGTGATAGATTTCAAAGGCTTCTCTCTCTTCTTTGTTCTTTTAATTTTTAATTCAAAATTTTGTTATTTGACTTTATAAAATATGGGTTGAATAAAATAATGATTGTGTGATTTTAAAGGAATCTTTATATATTGGAGGAAATGTGTTTTGCTAGATATTTTGTTTGATGGTTAAATATATAAAAATATGAGTTTATATAAAATAATATTAATTATAATGATGTAACACTAAAGTGAGCTTTTTGATTGTTTTCAATTGTACATGCTCTAGCCTAGTTCATTATTTTGTTTTTTTAACCAAAATAGTAATGTTAAAGTGAGAAAAATTTTATTTACTTTAAAAAATAAAAAATAATAAAAAAATTAAAATAAATTTTAGTAAAAAATGATTACTATCGTGGGAAAGATAGTATCAAGGAAAATAAAATCAATTTTGAAACAAAATTGCTAGTTGTAAACATATATAA